AGCTTTTCTTCTTCTGCTTCTAGACTTTATTAATTAATTCATTAACTAATTAGTTAATTTAACCGCCCCCCTCCCAGACAGGGTTTCTCTGTGTAGCTTTGGAGTCTGTCCTGAACTCACTCTGTAGACCAGGCTGGCCTCAAACTCACAGAGATCACCTGCCTCTGCCTCCCGAGTGCTGGGATTAGAGGCGTGCCCCAGCACCGCTGGTGCTTCTAGGCTTTTCTATAGACGTGCATATACACTCAGCCGGAGAACAAAGTCTGGAAGGGAACAGGTGAAGCACGCTGACTGACTGATGTGGACAAGTGGGCCTGTGATTGAGTGACGGAAGCCTTTAAACCTGTGTCTTCCACTAAGGAATCTAATCATCAGGGTGGGAGACCACTTCAAATGATTTGAAATGTTTTTAGGTATATATAACGTTATGGCTGAAAATACAGCAAATGCTCTTGCTTACATACTTTGGGAAGGCAATTTCCTGCCTGGGTGGTTGGTGAGGCATCTGTCTGTTCCTGGAGTCCAGAGACAGGAATCAGACCTAGGTGGGACACACCTGTTTTCTCTCACCCCGCTGGAGAGCCATTACCCTCATCAGAGTGCACCTGGCTCTGCCCCAGGACTGTGTGACATTTGGAAGAAATATGGCAGATTGCCACCAGGGACTAAAAGCTACTGGAAGGTTCTAGCCAAAGATGTGCACTTGAAGGCCCCATGCCAGACAGATCTTAGGAACTGTTTCTAATGAAGTTGTCTGAAGCCACAGCCGTGAGAAAACAGGGTATGTGTGACCCTGACAGTGAGTGATTGGAGGACCTTGACGGCTGTCCAAGCCTGTCTGCCTGTCTGTATGGAATTAAACAGGGAGAGTGTCTGTCCAAGCCACCTATGGTCACGGTAAACTGAGAGCAAGTCTCACTGTTGGGCATGGGCAGCATCACCTTGAGGAAGGTCGGGGTGGGACGAGGTCCATGCTTTGTGGCAGGGAAAGTTACTAAACAGAGGCTTCTAGACTGTGTCTAGATCCAAGGGCACTCTGGTGCCTGAGACCATTAACATCAGCTGGAGGGAAGGTTCCACACTGTTCTCTCTGAAGGCGCGGTGGTCAATCAGCAAGAACAATGCCCAGTGCAATGCTCAGGTTTCTGTCCCTGAGAGTGACTTTGTCAGTCCCCCCCTCCCCACGGGCTGTGTTTGCTCCACAGGGCAGTGGTAACCGGCTGGAACATACCAACCAGCAAAACAGACCTCTGAACAGACTTCACCGCTTCAAAAACACCCTTTTGAGAGTGGCGTTCTCTCTCCATTTCTATGGATGAACCTTGAGGGCTGGAGAAGCAGTGTCTTGCCAGACTCTGCAGCCTGCCCTTGTTTATCACTCAAATAGTCCTGGTTTTGAAAACTGTGTTTTGTTTTTTTTTTTTTTAAACAAACCTGCCTTGAGTTTCCCACCCCTCCCCAAAACCCAACAAAAACAAAGCCAAAAACCAATTTTCATTGCATTTATCTATTAGTGGGGAAGGCTTGTGTGTGCCGTAGCTTATGTGTGGAGGCCAGAGGGTAGCTTTTAGGGTCAGTTCTCCCTTCCACCATATGGATCCTGGGTATTGAACTCAGGGAGTCAGGCTTGGTGGCAAGCTTCCTCGTCTACTGGGCCATCTCACTGGTCTGTGCCTTGCATTCCTTTTTTGTTTGTTTTTTGAGGCAGGGTTTCTCTGTATTGTTTTGGAGCCTGTCCTGGAACTCACTCTGTAGACCAGGCTGGCCTCGAACTCACAGGGATCTGCCTGCCTCTGCCTCCCGAGTGCTGGGACTAAAGATGTGTGCCACCACCGACCGGCTGTGCCTTGCATTCTTAAAAGCTCCTTGCACTAATCTAGATTCTGGGTACAACCGTAACAAGAGAAGGGTCTGAAGGCTGGAGTGATGGAGCTTTGGTCCTGTGATGAGAGGCTGCTGTAACACCGTTAGTGTTTTTGCTGCTGTAGCTGCTTACTGCAAACTTGATGGCTTAAAAGAATGTAATTTACCCATGGCTCTGGAGGTCAGAGGTCACTGGCTAAAGGCCTGGGCAGGACTGTTTCTTTTGGAGAGTCTAGGGGTGCTCTTGGGGGCCACACAATGCCCTGTCCACCATCCTACCGACTCTATTTCCCTTTGCTTCCTGCTGCACTGTGCTCTGTTCTTCCTCACCATGCACTGACCCATCTCAGACTGACCCAAACAAATCCTCCCCTGAATCTGCTTGTGCAGCTGTTCCGACACACCAATGAAAAGTTCAGCGCTTTTAGTCTTTCTGGTTAAACACACTCGGGCACTGATAAAGGGGTAGCTGTGGCCTCTTCCCACCATCTTTCTGCACCGTCACCACGGTGTGCATGAATGTCCCAGCTGATGCTCTCAAGAGCATATACAATGCCGAGACAGGCCCTCATCAGGCCCTGCTCCATAGTCATCGCTCGGTTCCTAACTGTGACGATGAATTTGAAATCATCGATGAGCACAGAGCTGGGAAAAGCATCACGAACCTCACAGGCAGGTTGAGCAAGTGTGGAGTGATCAGCCCTAGAGCTGATGTTGCAGCTCAAAATGGCAGAACAGTCTGCTCCCGCCCTGTCAGTTTGGCTTCAGTGTACTGACAACTTCGGCTGGCATCATGGGCCATGCAGAAACAAGATGAAAACAGACAGGAGGGAAAATCCTGGGACTCTCTTTCTAGAGGTGTAAAATGCATAAATAAGAAGGCTCCATGGACTGGTGGGGTGGGGGAGTGGCTGGTTTCACCTCTGTCAAACTAACTGGCACACTGGGAATGCTCATATGGGGCAACTGTAACCTCCAGCAAACAGGAATTGCTGAAGCAGCTGTTTAAAGGTGGTGTTGACTCAGGACAGGGGATTACTGTGCAGACATAAAAAGAGGTTTTGAATCCTAAGCACCCCACTCCACCCCACCGGCTGACAGTCCCTTGGGCTGGCTCTGCACGCCCACCTCCACACACACTGGCTCTTTGTGGTCCTGAGTATGCTGTGTGCTCCCAGCCATATGGCTCACACTCGCTGAACCTCCAGCGGAGAAAGCCTCACCCCATATCCTTCCTTCCTCAAACGCCACAAAAGCGCCCTGTTCATGACTTAACTCTAAATGACAGTTTCCGTTTGCCCCCCCCCCTCACCTGTAAAATCCCTGAGGGCAGAGGCTGCGGTGGTTCACATTCTACAATGGCTGGGATGCAGGATACTCAAATTCAAATTAGTCTATTACTATTTAAAAGAAAATTATCCCAGACCTTTTCTCCTTTAAAAATGCAAACATCAAACAAAAGGAGTCTGACTTGTGTTGGCGCGCTGCTCCTGGGCACGGGCAGGCCTGAGTGTGGCTGATGTCACCCGTTGAGGAACACAGATTTCCCCCATCCCAGCACTACCAAGGGTCTGGAAGGACTCGAGGGACTGAGAATATAATCAGAATGCAGCACATGGAAGAGATTGAGGCCTTTAATCCCAGTACTCTGGAGGCAGAGGCAGACAGATCTCGAGTTTGAGGCCAGCCTGGTCTACAGAGTGAGTTCCAGGACCCTTACACAGAAAAACCGTCTCCAAAATCCAAACCAAAACAAATAGAAAGTCTCTCCTTGGAAAGTTTTGCTCTACAGCAGCAGAAATGGTGGTTTTCATAAAGGACAATGTCTAGAAAGGGAATTTTTAATCATCTCGTTTTACGACTGACACCTACACCTGTCAATACAAGGCAGTTGGTCCCAGAACTCTGTGATGTGTGAAATCCCTTTGAATCCATGCACTGATCTAGAAAGACAACTGACCTGGTCCTCCTGAAAACCCTCTAACGAGGTCAAAGTTTCACATCACCTTGCCCAGTCTCTGAGTGCTCAGGAGTAATGAATCCGAGACTCAATTAAACACCAGTGATGGTGACGGCAGAACCACAACCCCGGAAGCACTTAGTCAAACATTGCCAAGGCCAAGAAATGTGCGGACTGGACAAAGGACTCACAGATGTCCCAACAAAAGCCAGGAGGACACAAACACGGGAAGTCTGGCAACACACAGCAACAGGCATGTGCTGTTTTCCATTTTAAGGGCAGAACCTGGTTTTAATCATTTTCCAGAAATGTTTCCAAGTTAGGAGAGAAAAAAAAGTCTTCAAATCCATTAAGAAGACTAAACTCTTCCCTTATGCGTCCGAGGTAGACCTGACTCCTGGGCTCAGACTGTGATAGCTCCTGCTATCAATCTATTCAGTGCTGAGCTCCATGCCAAGTCCCCCTTTATATGTGAAACAGCCTGCTCTCTTCATTTCTGCCACACTGACAACAAATGCCTAAATATGCCCAATATGACCCAAAAACTTCGTGTGTGTGTGTGTGTGTGTGTGTGTGTGTGTGTGTGTGTGTGTAAGAAATAGGGAGCAAGCATTCCATAATGTGCAGGGGTCTGGGGCTTTCTACTGCCTGCATGCCAGTGCAAGCCACGGCAATGCTGCCACCAAGGTTCTCGGCTGGCATCTAGTGACCACATCAGGACAGGCCTAAGAAGGGGACTACTCCCACTCACTGTCCAAGAGCCATGTGTGTTAACTACATACAGAGAGATCACCGGGACCTGGGTGACAAAGCAACATGTAACTCTAAGACAAAGATGGAGAAGACAGACAATTCAAAGGTCATGCTGGTCATATAGAAAAGTGTCCCTTTTCAAAGGTTAGCTAACGGGTTAACCACAGTGCTGGCAAACAGACATCTCCCACATGCCACAAGCAGGGGCTCCACCCCATGAGCCAACTCTGAGCTACACACTGAGGAAAATCGGCACACAGGGGCGGAGAGGGGAGCAGTCAGGGACAGAGTGGTCACCTGGTGACCGAGACCGTGACCTCCAGTCCCCCTCAGTACTACCCACTCGGGAGGTGGATTTTATTATGGATTTAAAAAGAGTTAAGCCAATCAGGAATCTAACATGTAAAAATTAAAACACACTAAGTTATTAAAAAAGAAATCTTTATTTTTATCCCTAAATACAATTAGTTTCCCTGATTATAACCCATAATCTGTGTCACCTAAAATATAGAAAGGTCTATACAGAGCAACAACCCCCAGGTCGGTCTCCTCTCTCCCTCTCTCCATATCTAGGACAACTGTACCAGAAAAAGCAGAGTCGAATTTGTCAAATTACTGTCTGCATTTAGAGACTCATGGAAATCAGGGAGAGTCAGACACCAGAGAATAACTTAAAGATTAAAAGCTTCCCGGGTGAAGCATCTTGTGCACTGTTCCGAGCAGTCTTAGGTGCTTGTCTTCCCTCAGATCCCAGCTCTGGACAATGGCAGGCACTCCTGGGAACCAGCGGCTCACTTCACTTGCCATACGGTTGGTCATGGTGCATTTCTGGTGAATAAGTCAGCAGGACAATCATGACCCAGAGGTGAAGCAAAGCCTGGGGGAGAAAACACAATTTATGTGGCAGCCAGTCCATCTATCTGGGACTTCTCAGGGAGGACAGGGACCAGGCCTTGTCTTTGTACCACTCTAGGACAGAGTCTGAGACACAGCAGGGGCTTGGTACTATTTGCTGGCCAATGGAGAAACACATTGAGAAAACGAGCCAATGAGCTCAGGAACGGAGAGCTGCATACTGCAGGTCTCCTAGTGGAGAAGAGAGGCTGGAACACCAGACACTCCTGACTCACAGGCACCTGCAGGAACAACCTAGCAGGTGATAGATACTATGCAGAGGGCCGGGAAAGCTCTGTAAGGTAAACAGGCATTGGCTGGCAAGACCTTGTGAGACAGTTGTGGCTGGTGTTCTGAGGACAGTTTAGCCAGCTTTGGTGACGAGATGGGAAAGGACACTTGACAGGAGCAATGTGTCAGTGGCAGAGGCTGAATTAGTAACAAATTTCTGGCTCCCCCAGGGCAGTATGAATGGCAGGAGGTTTCATCAATCAGGACATTTAAAGCCTGGGCCACCAGCCCCTGTGGGGTGCACCTGAATCCTTTCTGATGCCCTTCCTTTCCCCTTCCTCCCCACCCATCCTCCTCTCCTAAACCTTTTTATTTAGAGGAACAACTCTTCCCTCTAGTGGATCAACTAGAAATTTCTTTTCAAAGTAGGTTTCCATTTCTTAAGAAAATAGCCCTTAAGGCAGCCTAATCTCTTATAGATGCCCCCCCCCAACATAGTGGGTGGCTTTTAGGCACAGCACACATGAACTAGCACCCCAACCAGTACAGCTGGTTCTGTGCAACAAAAACCAAAAGAAAATGAATTGGCCTTGAGATCCTGCTAGAAAACTAAAGTAAAACACATGAAAACAATCACAGCAATTTTACAGCATTAAGACACAAATTAAATCAGCTATTTCATTCTGCATTTGTGTCAGTAGACAGGCTTAAAAATGGAGGTGTCTGTTAAACTACATTACAGCTAACTTTATCTTCAGAGAAAGCCTCTAAGCAATTTATGTTCTCAATGGCTAACTTGTAATGTATCTTAAGAAAAGCTTAATTATCAACATTAGCTCTATTCCCTTTCAAAGTTAATTGGTAAAATATGAGTAAGATTAGCAGCCAAAACAACAGACAGAAATCAAGTGCAGCATTACTTTTTCTGATAAATTTACTCACCATATAGATAATTACAAACACTCTTGCTATGGGGTATCTTCGGAGAAAAATTCCCAGGCGAATACTATGCAAACAGGTGAGAAAAAAGGAATTATATTCAAAGCAAATATTCCTAACAGCCTTTTTTTGTGTGTTTGTCTTTTTGTTTTGTATTCTGAAACAGGGTTTCTTTGTGTAACTGTCCTGGAACTTGATTTGTAGGCCAGGCTGGCACTGAACTCACAGAGCTCCACCTGCCTCTGCCTCCCAAGTGCTGGGATTAAAGGCGTGCACCACTGCCACCTGGCTAATATCCAATGGCTTTTGTTTTTGAGATAGCATTCTACTGTGTAGCCCAAACTGTCCTGGAGCTTGCTTTGTAAACCAGGTTGGCCTAGAACTCACAAAGATCCACCTGCCTCCCAGGTGCTGGAATTAAAGACGTATACCACCACCACCCAGCCTATCCAATGTTTTTGAAAACATCACTCATTCACACTATTTTTGTGACTACCACAGAAGAATAGTTTTATTATAGACTCATGTGATCACTTAAAATGACCATACATGAAGGTCAAACAAACACTGCTATTATTTGGAGTTAGCTGTTAAAATTTCAGTACAAGCATCTACTTGGAAATGGTTAATATAGAAACTTCTGCATACACATTTTTCAAGAGGACTAAGCCATAGGAATTCAGGAAGGGTAAGGTATGCTGGTATACACTTTTAATCTCAGCACTGATAGGCAGGCAGACATCTGAATGAAGGTGGTAGAAGCAGGTGACAGCCACTGCTCACTGCCATTGGCACTGCAGGTAAATTTTCTATGGGTGCTAAGCTGAATACATGCATTTTATTCAGACAGTGAATAAAGCCCTTCAGAAGCCCCCCCTACCACCACACACACACACACACACACACACACACACACACACACACACACAGAGTCAGGGTTTCTCTGTGTAGCTCTGGCTGTCTTGGAACTCACTTTGATGACCAGGATGACCTGGAACTCAGATCTGCCTGCCTCTGTCTCCTGAGCACTGGGATTAAAGGCGTGTGTTACCACCTATTTTTTTTTTAAACCACCACCACCACAGTTTAGGGGGCTGGAGATATGATGGGGGCTCAGCAGTTAAGAGCACTGGGTACTCTTCCAGAGGTCTTGAGTTCAATCCCCAGCAACCACATTGTGATTCACAACCATCTATAATGAGACCTGCCTGCCACCCTCTTCTGGCATGCAGGTATACATGTAGATACATCACATACATAAAATTAATCTAAATTTTTTTAAAAAAGGAAGTTTCCTCTCAATAAATAAATCTATTCAATTTAAAAAAAAATACATCACAGCTCTATTCTGATTCAGAAAGGCTAAGAAAACATTATTCTTATCACACAATTCATTAAGACCATGTCTAACTCTAAACACTAAGAGAAAATTGGCATATCAGAGGTATTTTTTAGATATTAATTCATTGAGGCTATAGATAAACTGTTAAAATATTTTCTTTGTAAAGTGGATGCTTGCAAGCATAAAAGTTCTGTATGTAAATACATAATACAAATTCTAAATATTACTTAAGGATGTATGTAAAACAAGTTATACTGTTCAGCTCTATATTGCAGCATCTTCCAATCCGTGATGAAGTACTGGGTGAGACATCATATGGACACTTTCTCACAAGCACAGGGGCTCTTTACTCAGTGAGCTGTTTTGAGAAAGTTTTGAGTGGTTCAAGCTCGTTTTGACATCATGAGCTCCAATGACCCTGTCTGTCTCCTTAGTGCTGGGACTGGTTTCAGTGAGTGATGTCAGCTTCTGCTGTGCATGGTGGCACATGCCTTTAATCCCAGCAATCAACCAGCAATGAGAGACAGAGACAAGTGGATCTCTGAGTTCAAGGGCAGCCTAGTCTACAGAGCGAGTTCCTGGACAGCCAGGACTATAGAGAATTATCTTGAAAATCAAAAGAAGAAAAAAAAAAAAAAAAAAAAAAAAAAAACCCAAAGGATGAAAGGAAGGCAGGAAGGAGGAAGTGGATTTACCTACTTCAAATTAAGTAATGCCAGCTTATTGGTAGAGTTTGTTGGAAGGGGACAGCCAGGACTGACATCGTTTAACAATGCTTAGGCACTGGCAGCCGGACTAAACCAACTTCACAGCTTGGGAGTATCACAAAGGAATAAGGGAACTGTCACTTTAACTATTAGCTCCGCCCCAATGGGCTCAGGGTGGCTTCACCAACTGGAAGAGATTATTAAAATAGCTGAGGCCATCTTTCATCCTGAGTGGCACTGCTTACCTAAATTGGTCAATGGAGCTAGCAGCCTTGCGAACCTTTCCATACATTCCTGCCAGATTAGTTTCTGTGTCATTAAAAAGAACAGGAACATTTCGCAGGCGTGTCCCTGTTTAAATAAGAGAATGAATTAACAAACTGATACCAAAATAACCAACTTTCTAAGAAAACTAGAGTTGAAAATGTATCATATGAGGAAGAATTTCTCAAAGCCAACTTTCTAAGCACTAGAGTAGAAGAAATCGTAACACAGATCAACTACAAAAAAAAAACGCTTCAATTTCCACAAAATTTTAGTAGACACTACAGTTTACAATATCTGGTGCTTGCAAGAGCAACATCCCTGGGCCTTGGCTTTGGGAGAGGCCGGCGGTTCTCCACCACTGAGAACGCTGGCTCCTGGATGGGCCCTTCCACTCCAACCATCCAACTGCTTAGCTTTCTTCGGGATCACGGAGGACATCAAGCACACGTACCAACTATGACTCCAGTCTCTATCTCTCCCTGGCAAGCTCCTTCTCTTGGTGTCTTCTCACTTTGGTATATAATTCCACTCTTTCATCCACTCAGGCTAAAATCCTCCACTCTTTTCTTGCAGGCTTTTCAGTAAATTCTGCCAGCTCGCCTTTTAAATAAACTTTCGCATCCCTCCTGTTAGGACTCAGGCATTATGCCGGTCTGCCCAGTTACCTGGCACAATGCACTCAGGCAGTACCCTGGTCAGCCCAGGGTCCTATGGCTGCTACATCACGATGTAGTCTACACACAGGTGCAAAGGTCCCTTTAATAGGAAAACCCCACCCACTTCTGCTCTCTTTCCCAATGTTCCTCTAAAAAGGCTGACTTGACTTTTCTTGTCTCCCTCTTCCTCTCTCTCTTCTCCCCCCCCCCATCTCCTTTTCCTTTCTTCTCTTCCTCCAATAAAACTTCCCGCTAAAGCTCAGTCTGCTTTGTCGCTATCTTATCATTCCAATACACTTCCCAATCTCTGGCCCTTTCTAACAGCTGTGAGGTATTAGTCCAACATACATCTTTCTAGTGATTACATGAACAGCACAGGGACTAAGTCTCACACCAGGAAAAGAAACACTGAAGAAAATTACTTTTCAGTAAAAAGGATCTTTCTGTCGTTTTTCAAAATCATGTTTTGTTGCCATGTTCTTTCTAGGATTACCTTCACCACTGTCAATCCCAGACATGTTAATGGAGGACCCGCTGCTGGGCCCGGTGGAGGCAGAGTGCACTTGCTGCTCCAGGCGCTCTAGCTGGAAGACCAAGGAGTTCTTTTCTGTGCTGAGGCTCTCTAGCATGGTCTGCTTCTGGATGAGTGTCTCCGTCAGCTGATGGAGTCGGCTCTCTAGCTCCGACTGGCTGCTGTTGCTTAAAGTTTTGTTGGTGAGCTGCAGGGGAAAGTGCTTAATCAGTTCACAGGCTCAACAGTGCACGGTATGGAAAGGACATGAGACTTCTCCCTGGCTAGAGGTGATTTTTAAACCACATCAGCGGGTCCCGCAGCAGCAGCTAGAAAATGTAATAGATGGGCATTTCCTGGAATTCGTGTATCACAATATATACATGTGTTACTGTGTTGACTTCTTTGTTATGAGACAGGTTCTCCTTTCAAAGCTTTCAACTCACTACATAGCTCAGTGGCCATCCTGTCTCAGCCTCCTGAATGCTGAGGTTATAGGCAGGTGCCACCAAGCTGGGCCTCTGTTCTGGTTTTGTATTATGAATGCATGTGGCTATGAAGACACACTGTAGACTGCATTTCTTACTGCAGTTGACATAATCAAGTTTAGAGGAATCACGCACTTCGGCGTAAGTGGGATTCCAACTCCACAGTGAGCCCCTAGCTATGCAACTGCGGACAGAATAGAACATTCCCATCACCACACACAGGCTTTTGCCTGTTCCTGGGTCTCCTGTAAGTGGTCTGTCACATTATTCTATACATTTTTTTTTAAATAAATTTACTTTATTTATTTATTTATTTTTATTTTACATGTTGATCCCAGTTCCCCCTCCCTCCCTTATTCTATACATTTTTATCTTTTTGGTTTTATTTTATTTCATATATATGGATGTTGTGTCTGCATGCATGTCTGTACACCATATTCATGCCTAGCATAGAAGCCAGAAGAGGGTACTGGATTCCCTAGAACTGGAAATTACAGATGACTGTGAGCCACCATGTGGATGCTGGGAATCAAGCTCATTCCCAGGTATTCTGGATGCACAGCCAGTGTCCTTAACTGCTGAGCCATTTCTCCAGCCCCAGTATATACTGGCTTACAACTTGTTTATTCATTTACCTGCAGGGAAACCTGGTTTGTTTCCAATTTGGACTGCTTATGAATACAAAACTGAAGTGTCTTTATGGGATACATCTTCATTTGTAGTGAACATCTAGAGTCACAGGGAAGACACATGCTAACCTCACCAGAAACCAGCAGCTGCCTGCCAGAAATGGTGGTTCATAAGCATAAGCCCAGAACTTGGGAGACGGAGGCAGAAGGATTATAGTGCACCCAAGATCAGCCAGGATTAAATAGCAAGACCTTGTCTCAAGATAGATAGATAGACAGACAGACAGACAGACAGACAGACAGACAGAATAAAAATAAAGGGGGAGCCAGTCTTCCCAGTGCTGTGCAATGCCCAGCAGCACAGGCTTCTTGTTCTAACCTGAAAGCTGAGCCAGTCTCGGGAATGAGTGGGACTCATCCTGATGACCCTGTCTGTGACCCTGTGACCTACTCACAAACTTATCTTACCCTTCAGAAAAGGTCTGTTACAGTCTTTCGCCCACTAAAAACAGCAGCTTCTTACTATCAACAGGAACCCTTACGGTGACGGTTTGTGTCCCAGGGCTGGGCCATGTGTACCATGTCTGAGGAAGCAAGAGGAAGGCTGTGGAGGGGTGCTGGAAGCTTCCTCTCCCAGTCCATGGCTGTCCTCCTTTTATTTCTGTACTGCCTTTCCGTAAGCAGAAATTTAAACTTTGATGAATTCAATTGTGGGTTTTTTCTTCTTAGCCAGGCAGTAGTGGCGTATGCCTTTTGATCCCAGCACTCGGGAGGAAGAAGCAGGCAGATCTCTGAGTTCAAGGTCAGCCTGGTCTACAGAGCAAGTTCCAGGGTAGCCAGGGCTACACAGAGAAACCCTGTCTCCAAAACCAAAAAACAAATAACAAAAAATAACAAGGAAAGAAAAGAAATAAAACCTTTTTTATTCTAAATTGCATAAAGGGTATCTGATACTTTCTTTCTAGACCTTATAGTTTAGGCTTACCCTCACCAAAAAACAATTTTTGAGGCTGGTCATGGTGGCATAAGCCTTTAATCCCAGCACTTAGGAGGCAGACACAGACAGATGTCTGTGAGTTTGAGGCCAGCCAGGTCTATACAGTGAGGCCTATATCAGCAAAATGAGACCCTTTCTCAAAAAAATAATTCTTGTAAACTTTACAAAAGGGACAATGATTAAGATTTATTTTTTTATGTTTTTTCTATCCCCATAGAATAGTTTTGAAAGAGTATATGTAGGTACCATTATTTTATTTTATATTTTCAGAATTAGAAAACAAGTATTGTGACTTTATAGATGTCTTACCAATTGATACTACCAAGATTAATCAGTCAATTTTTGTTAAGAAAAATAAACCACAATTATGAATGTGATATTAGCATCCCACACTGAGGTCAGAAGTAATGAAGTTTTGGAGGGAAGTCTAACCTCAGATGAAGTGGCTACACGATACCTCTACGGAAGGAAGCCAGGGTACTGCAAAGAAAGTTCAAGTGGAGTGAGATGAGAAAGTAGAGCAGCTCAAACCTCCCATACAATCCTGAAGGACATGGTACCAAGCAAGGCCACTCACTTCCCCGTTCCTACCTGATTCCTTAGTTTCTGAATTTCTTCCTCTCGATCTTTAATTCTGCTTTGCAGTGTGTTCTTTGTTCTATGCAGATCTTCTTCCATGTAATGGCATTCCTAGTGTGGGGCATGAATAAATCAATTTGAGTGCGCTCCATGCCATCTCCAGAGCCTAAAACCCACCCAGACTCACACTGAGCACTCAGTTCAAGTCACAGCCACACAGAGCAATGCAGACATGGATTTGGATAGGTGTGATGAAAAGTCAATACATGAGCATGACGCTGAAAATGCCAGCTCTGAAATGCATGCTAAATGGCTAAATCAGAAGATACAAGACACACTTACAGCAATGAGAACTAGACCATCATTGTGAATGCCATTACAGAGTATTACTATTGATCATGACAACAAACTGAAGACATTTGCTATGATAAAGCACTCTTCAGTAATATTCATAAATGAATTTGTTTGTTTGTTTTTTGAGACAGGGTTTCTCTGTATTGCTTTGGAGGCTGCCCTGGAACTAGATCTGCAGATCAGACTGGACTCACACTCACAGAGATCCACCCAGCCTCCTGAGTGCTGGGATTAAAGGTGTGTACTACAGATGCCCCGACGCTCATAAATGATTTTTTAAAATACAAAATCAGGGCTGGTGAGATGGCTCAGTGGGCCCAAAGCTGATAGCTTGGTAAAGATATACTAGGAATGTTCCAGATTTCTCCTATTTTCTAGTCTGTACAAATTCAAGGCTAAAATTACTTAATAAGGTATACATTTAGTCCTAAAATTAAATACTTTACATTTGGGATTTCTGATGAGTAAGTAGCCTATAGCTAATAGTCAGTGTATGTCCCTCTACTTCACCACTTACAAATGGCTTCTGAGAGGGAGTGCAGGGGAACATCTGCCATAATAAATGAAAATATCACCTATCAAGACATGAAACCGCTGCCCTGGAATACATAGCAGCTCGTTGAATAAACTGAAAGGCCATTCTGGAAGCTAATCTTAGAATTATATTAACTAAGAAGGCCTGCTACACACATGCCTTGAAGGCCTCTGCTTGTTTTGTTTTTTTACAAAATAATTTTGAGGACTATTTCCACAATAAATCCTAATGAAAAACTCATTTAAAGAATTTAAATACACATAAAAAAGTAAAGATGATTTAAAACAAACAAAATTAGAAATTTTATGAGTGATACAGTAAGAGTCACAAGTATAATCTTCTATGAAATTAATAGTAGTGACTTTATTGTATGAAATAAAATAGTGAGTGCTAACATCAGCATTGCTACTCAGTAGATACTACTAAGACATGTAGAATATTATCTGAAAATGTAATTTTAGTAAATTTAGTATTAACTCCTCAATATAGAAAGCCCTACATAAATATATATATTGCAAAATAATTTGGCTTTGGAAACTAACTCAATATACACTTTCATCAGAAAGTGGCTAATATGGCCCCCAGGGTGTTTCTAGTAGTAGTTTTATAGTTCTGGAAAAGCAGATGTAATGAGTAGAATATGTTTTATGTTTTTACACACACTCTGACAGACTGATGGGATATAAACACAGGAAATAGAAAGAATTCTGAGTTCTGAGCTGATAATGCTGGGTTTTATTCTCTAGCTCATTTTACAGTATTGGGAAGTTATTTACCATTCTGTGCCCAATTCTCCATCTATAAAACAAAACAACACAACAAAACCATGGGCTAGAGGAATGGCTCAGCAGTTAAGAGCACTTTATACCAAATTATGAGGACTAGAGTTTAGCTCCCAGCCAGGTGTCTCGTAGCCCAGCTCTGAGTGGATGAGGGCAGAGAATATCCTATCTCAAAGGAATAGGTACAAAGTGATGGAGAAGGGGTCCTCTTCTTGCATGTGCACACACAGAGTCACATGCACCTGCACACACACCCACATAGATACTCTCACAATCTTTAAAAAACAATACTGGAGTCAGCAAAAAAGCTCACAGGGAGGTGTGCGGTGGTGCATGCCTTTAATCCCAGCATTCAGGAGGCAAAGGCGGGAGCATTCCCCTGCCCCCCCCCAACAAAAACAAAATAACAAAAAAAAAGAAGGCTCAGTGGATAAAAGCACTTACAGCTCAAGCCTGACAACCTGAGTTCAATCTGTAGAACCCATGCAAACATGGAAGGAGACTAAGTTGTCTTTGACTTCCCCAAGCAAGCAACGGCACATAGTATGTGCCTATACTGGTACATCATGCATATAAAGAATAATAATAAACATTTAAAAAACCCAAACCAAAGCAGGTGGAGTGGAAAAGCAAGAGGAACTGGCAAGCTTCTACTAAGAGCCTGTGCTATAAGACCTCCTGGGAGGAGGTCCCACTCCTTACCTGCTTCATCCGGTCCAGCTCCGTCTCCAGCTCTTGTTTAGATGCTTTCTGCCTAGATATCTGGTCTTGCAGATCTTGTAACTGTTCTCTTGCTGATTCTGCTTCACTAACCTGCTGAGCCTCCATATCCTAAGAGGAACCATACACAAAAGCAAACACTAACAGTTCTGCTCAACGCACACTGAACAACAATCACATGCTGTGGGCAGGATTCAGCAGCCCAAAGGGATGAGGGATCATAGGACTCAAATGAGATATCTCACTATGTAATTTGACTAGGAGCGAGGGAATGACCAGAACAACACAGCTGCCTGGCCCACAACCCACCTAGCTCATGAGTGGCCAGTACACTGCTAGGCAATTCATGCCTGCATTGAAAAGCTAACACTTGTCAGGTGATTCTGGTGCACACCTTTAATCCTAGCGCCTGAGAGGCAGAGGCAGGTGAATCTGTGAGTTCAAGGCCAGTCTGGTCTACAGAGTGAGTTCCAAGACTGGCTCCATAGCTACTGAGAAACCATGTCTTATAAAACAAGAGAAAAGAAAAGAAAAGCTAACACTCTCAGAGAGCTGAAGTATATATAATACTCAAAGAGACCTCACTGCATTAGTTTCACTGTAGGCCGTGTGTGTACCATCAAACAGCACACAGAGAGGCTAACTAGGACATCACCGTGGTTAGTATGTAAGCTGCTTCCAGCTTTACTACTGTTACTCAATTTTCCTATCTCCCCATATTTCTCACTCTCACTTTTGAGTTTGAAAAGGTGAGAGTCAGAAATAAAGTATATACCTTTAATCCCAGCACTCAGGAGACAGAGACAGGGTTTCTCTGTGTAACAGAACAATTGAATTTTTTCAAAATCGTATTTATTTACAAATGTTTAAGTGAATCCACTTAAAAAAAGAGAGACTAGAAGGTTCATTATCCTGCACTTAATCTCCTATCACCAGATACCTTCTCCTATGATATCTGTGTCAAAGATCCCATATTAATGTTGGATAAATGGCCCAGTTTACTGTTTTGTGCTAGGGGAATTGGACTGAGAGCTCCCACAAGCTAGGCAAGCATGCTATTACTGAATCATATTCCCAGATTTTTAATTTTAGATTAAACACAGCACTTATACACAAACTACAATTATAAGACTATGCATAAAACTATAATTAGTTTCTGAGTACATGCTAATATTAGGAAGCATTTCAGTTAGACAGAAAATCACAAACTAATTTGCTTTTAAGTAGCAGAATTTAAGATCCATACATTTAAAGGTTCTTGTCTGTTTCCTGGTACAATTCAGGCTTTTATGTACATGGCAGCATGTGCTAAGTACTTCACCCTTAGAGTTACAATCAGTCACCAGACAGAATACCTAGTGCTATAGATACATATCTACATGGTAGCTAACATCCTAGCATAAAAAACAAAACAAAACAAAACAAAACAAAACAAAACAAAACACTGTTTCAATATGCCACCTCCTCAAACTGGAGTAGCTGGGGTAGATGGTAGTCCAGGCCACTAAGCAGTGACTGTTACCTGTAGCTCGGATCTCAGCTGATGTATCTGGCCCATCAGCTTCTGGATCTCCTCCTTTTGCATCTCCTTCTCATGCCGAAGTTCTTCTAGCTCCATGCTGCCGGCAGTACTGCTATCTAGGCCTTCAAAACTCGAGCCTTCCTTTAAGCTGTTTATCAATTTTTCTTTAGACTGTGTGAAACAGAGAGTATAATTAAGCAAAAATGTTATTAGCTTATTCTTCTTTTTAGATTTATTTATTTTATGTTTGTAAGTGTTTTGTCTGCAAGTGTGTCTGTGTATCATGTGAAGGCTTGGTGATCACAAAGGTAGGAAGAGAACATCAGATCCTCTGGAACTAGTACAGATCGTTGTAAGCCACCACCTAAACACTGGGAACTAAATCCTCTCTTAGAGTACCAAGTGTTCTTAACTTCTGAGCCTTCTATCCAGCCCTTTACTTCATTTTATAGTATTTATTTATTTTATTTATTTATTTATTTTGTGGTGCCAGAGACTGAGTCCAGGGCCACACACATAAGCACACTTTTCACTAAGCATTATCCCTACCTAGCTTACATAGTGTCATCTCACCTAAAGAAACAAAGCACCGCTGGGTGTTGTTGGTGTACACTTTAATCCTAGCACTCGGGAGGCAGAGGCAGTCAGATTTCTCTGAGTTTGAGGCCAGCCTGGTCTACAGAGCTAGTTCCAGGACAGCCTCCAAAGCAATACAGAGAAACCCTGTCTCAAAAAACCAAAAAATAACAAACAAAGGACCAGACATTCATCCCTGGAGGAAATCCACAGGTAATTAAAGCCATAGGGACTTAAAATGCAAGAGATCCTTGCTGTACTATCCTTGAACATTTTTGTTAATTTGTTTTGGTTTTTTGTTTTTTGAGACAGGGTTTCTCTGTGTAGCTTTGGAGTCTGTCCTGGAACTTCACTGGCCTTGAACTCACCAAGATCTGCCTGCTCTGCCACCCAAGTGGGAAGCAAAGGTGTGTGCCACCACTTCATGTCCTGCTCTTGGATCTTAGTCCTCATGATCATGTTACAGTTGCAAATGATTCATAAGATATTCCTCTATTCTTGTCCGCATCATACTCCACTAAACTAATGCTTAGGGAGCAGCTAAGATGCACTTGGCACTGTACAAAAGACCTCTGTGAGATAAAGATAATGTCCCTTACTGAAAGTGCCCTCTGCCTCACAGACTAAACAGGAAATTAAAAGCACCCAGTAGAAGAATGCAATGAACACAAGCAAGGGGAAATGGTCAGATTATTGCAGAGTTCTGAGTAGTAGAGAAAGCCTTACTTCAAAGTCAGCATTTATACTGACATTGAAATATGGCTCATTTTAAAAACATACAGAGACAACAAAAGCATGGTGGTATGTGGTAAAGTACCGTGTGAGGTAGCTAGCTCAGATTTTGAGTCAATTTGTAATGGCTTCAGATGCCAGGCTAAACTTTTATTTATTTTTGTTTTGTTTTGTTTGAAATCGAGTCTCGCACTGTAGTCCAGGATGGCCTGGAACTCATGGCGATTCTTCTGCTTCAGTTTCCTAAGAGATAAAGTAACAGGCAGGTACCATAGACGGAGACCAATTCTTTTCATTTGACTTGGTAGGCTAAATCAAATGACCAGACAGTGGGCAGGGAGCGCTGTCACCAAGATGCATTTCAGGAGGTTGACTGGGATGTATTGCATAGCAGGTGTCAAAGTCACCGTCCATGGGTCAATCTAGCAGCCTGTTTCTGTACAGCTCAAAAGCTAACCATGTATTTCACATTCCAATACAATGGCATCTGTTTTAGCCCTGGCATATATAATATTTACTACTATTCGGTCCTGTACAGAAAAATCTGTGGATCCCTGGCATGAAGGATAAGCAGAAAGAAGACATCTAAGACTTATGCAGATCAACTTATAAAGTGCCAATTCTCAACCAGGAAGCATCAATTCTTTCATCTTGAATACAAAATTTTAAAGTTCCTTTTAAGCTGCAGAACTATAGATTATTTCTATTTCTTTCTGCCAACTTTATTTTTCAAATCTGCTACACTGAACAACATCATTTACAAACTGCCTCTCACCCCAATCACAAGACCCCAACTTGGTAACTCTCACATCTGCATCCAGCCTTTGGCCTTACATTATGCTGCCAGGCAAGCTGTTACCATCGCTAGGTCTTCACCTCCCAAAGCACACTGGACCTCCTCTTTCTGAGAAAACCTGGGATACCACACGCCAAATCCAAGAACTCTACCCAGCCCTCATCACATCACAGAAGCTGCCAAACTGCCTAGAAGGGGCTGCCCAATCTGATTCCAGCACATCACGGGATTGTATCGCTATCACCTAATCTCGAGCACTAGATCGGCAGGCAGACTGTGTTCTCTCAGGCCCTGCTTCCGGTATGACTTCTTTATCTACATCTCTACCCTTGTGTGAGTCTTCCTACTCATCCTTCAAGGCTCTCTTTATAGTGTTAGCTCGGTGCAGTGAACCCTGGCACCCTGAGCACATAAAGTCCTCTTTCTTTCCAAGTCCCACTGTACTGCATCAATGATTTTACCCTATCAATTTTTTTTTTTAATCTGCTAACCTGAATGTGCCCTTAAAACCCTGAGCACATAAAGTCCTCTTTCTTTCCAAGTTCCACTGTACTGCATCAATGATTTTACCCTATCAATTTTTTTTAATCTGCTAACCTGAATGTCTCCTTAAATCAAAGAGAGTAAAGAAAAAAAAAAAGACTAAAGTTTTATAAACAACTGCGTGGTTTCATGCTTTACTGCCAGATGATGGTACTATTTTTTCAGAAGAAAACAATGAAGACGCTGTTTAGGGGGTTGAGACTCTCAAAACCTAAAGAGCAAGCAGCAAGGACCTGAGGTCAGGAGGTGAGAGTCAGAGGCATGCCTGAAGTCTCGTGAGAGGGCACGCAGAAACAGGGTGAGTATACATAAATACAAGGTAGGAGAGAGGATTTAGGATAGAGCTTAAAAGGACCTTTTACTCTCTGGAGACTGGGAAGAGGACCCCAGAGAGCTGGTAACAAGGATAAGAGAGGGATAAAATAGGAGCTGAGGTGGTACGGGGCACGAAAGGCCAGAACTCCAAGAAGGTAGGAGGGTAGCAGAGCTGTCTGTATCATCCAAGTCAAAGTGTATGCAAACAACAACAAAATGTAACAGCAAATATATGTTCTGGTCATTCCAGACCTTTTAGAGAAGAAAATTTCAGAAATGTAATAGAAATTACATGATAGAACAAAGGGGACACGTTCTTAATAAATGAAGACAGTCTAGTCCTAACCTTCTGAGGGATCTGACATTGAGACAAAACAGGGAACAATTCAAAGAAGCTAAAACAAAACAACAACAAAACAAAGCATAAAGCCAACTTCCTTTTTCTGCTTTGGGAGGGGTCCCAAAATCTAGTCTTCCACTAAGTGACCACTGCTTTTGTGAGTAGACACAGCAGCAGTAGACACACACAAGAACAGCAAGTATGAGAAGCAACTAAAGTGAAGCAGGCAGACAGAACCCTGCACAGACAGACAGACTGAGCAAAACAAAAGCACACACTTTCTCTCTGACAAGCCGAAGACTACACCAAAGGAGTATAACATAGCCGCTAGTGACTCGGCGTCATCAGAGATGAAGGGAGCAAGCTGAAGATGTGAACCAGGCAGTGGTGAGGTCAATAGAATGTCTACCCTTTGCACAGGAGCTCCAGTGCAGCGGGGCAATGCAGCCACACCTCACCTCGCAGTATCCAGAGTGCCCGGTGAGGGGCTCATTGAGGTGTACACTCCTGCTTACCTGGAGTATCCGTGTAGCTTTCTGCTTGTAGTCAATTAACTCCTGCTTAGAAGACTCCAAGCTCGACCTGTGTAGCTTGACTTGCTGCTGGAGCTCATCAACCTTCTTCTTCTCCTCCGAGTACTTTCTTTCTGCCAGGGTAACTGCTTCCGCCAAATTCTGGCGCTCCACTTCCATTTTATTAAGGCGTGCAGCAAACTCACTCTGCGGTAAATTTTACATTATATGTACTCTATCATTTAGCTTGGAACATATTTACAATGATACATTCAGATATTTTAAGGGATTTATGAGCTCTGATCAACAATTAGGAGAAATAAGAAATAGAAAAATATACAATGTGTGGCTCCCAAATACAGCAATACATTAAAGCCAACTAAGAGTTTATTCAAGATATAACAAGGTCTTTTGGGCTTAGTGAACTGGAATTTTCAATTTTGGTGCTGGGGGGTCTGTTTTCTAAGAAATATGCCAGGTATGGTGCTACACACCTAACTCCAGTACTTGGGAGGCAGAGGCAGGAGGATTGCCACAAGTGCGAAGCAACCCTCAGCAGATTAGTGAGAGCCACCTTTTATTTTATTTTATTTTATTTTGAGGCAGGGCCTCTCTTTGAACCAGGAGCTCACCATGACTAGACTGGCCGGCCAGAGAGCTCCAGGAATCTGCTTGTCTCCCCTGCTCACTCAGAACTGAAGTCACAGATCTGTGCTACCACACCTACTCTCAGGACCCCTGCAGGCACCGCACACACTTTACAACATCTCCCTGGCCTCCGCTGCATTATTTTTTAATGTCCTTTCCCAACAGGATTTCCTTGTATGGACATACCACAACTTGTTTATTCCCGCAGCACGTGGCATTTGTATTTCTGGCTTTGCCCAGATATGAATACTGCTCTACAAATACCAAGTTTTATGTGAACATACATTTTTAATCTCTTGGGACCAGGCTGGCCTCAAATTCAGAGACCCACCTGCCTCTGCCTCCCAAGGGCTGGGGTTAAAGGAAAGTACCACCACCACTCAGCCTCTCACTGATAATTTTTTAAGATGAAGTACATGTTGAAACAGATTGTTTACCCCTTATCATAAATTCCCCAGAACCAGAAGTTTTCAGGGTTTTTGTTTTTTTCAGATTTTAGAAGATTTACAGATACAAAATAAGAGTTTGCAACCTTGACTGTTCATTGGATTCACCCTTGAGTCTTATAAAAACAAACCACTAAGCTGGGCATGGTGGCAAACACCCTGAATCCCAGCACTTAGGATGCAGAGGCAGGTGGATCTCTGTAATTTTTGAGGTCAGCCTGGTCTATATAGTTGGGTTCAGAACTTCCAGAGGTAGGGCTGCATAATGAGACTCTGTCTCAAAAACAAAGTAAAAACAAAAACAATCTCCCTCCTCCCCCAAACTAAAACTTCAGTGGATTCAGAAAGGTGGCTCTCAAGTGTAAACAGGTCCAAGACTGAACTACAGTTAAAAACTAAAAGTAGAACTGTAAGCCAGTAAGGTAGTGCACACCTTTAGTTCCAATACTTGGAAGGGAAAGGCAGGCAGAATTCTGAATTTGAAGCCAGCCTGGTCTACAGAAGAGTTCCAGGACAACTAGGGCTACACAGAGAAACCATGTATCAAAAAACCCAAAAACCAAACCAAACCAAAACAAAGTACAGCTGTAAATACTATGTGCAATTTTCTCTTGAAATAAATGAATCAGGGCTGGAAAGATGGCTCATTGGTTAAGAACACTAGCTGGTCTTCCAAAGGTTCTGAGTTCAATTCCCAGCAACCACATGGTGGCTCACAACCATCTGTAATGAGATCTGGTGCTCTCTTCTGGCCTGCAGACAGAACACTATATAAATAATAAATAAATAAATAAATAAATCTTAAAAAAGAAAGAATTTAATCAATTTAAGCTGGAACTAGACAAGATTAAATAAGAATAAACAAGACATCCCAAGCTAGCATTTACTGAAATGGCAATGGTTGTTACAATCAAATTCAACGAAGGATGCACAGCTCTGATGAACATTATTAAGCATATTAATTTTCTCTCATACATAAAATTAATTTAGCCCAGATTATGATTTTTTTTCAAATATCTAGGCTTCTGTTTGACAAAATGCACGGTAGAATTCTGCTGAAGAATATGCTATGAAATGCAGAGGCAACCCTCTGAGTACCAAGAGAATGCAGCATCTCCCTTCTAACCTGCATTTGTCTGTAGCTATCCTGCTCTCTCTTCAGAGTGGCATCCGATTCATGCAGCCTCTCTTGAAGTGTTTGCAGAGCTTGATTCTGTAGGCTACTGCCTTCATTGTGATCTTGCATTATTCTAAAAGAAAATGCATTACATGAATGAATGCATTTCCACAGACAGCAATCAGGTATAATTCCTAGAGCATCTATGAATTAGTCAAACAAAAAAGATGGTCTAAGACATTCTTTTTTAATTATTTATGTTTTGGTGCTTTGCTTGCATATATGACTATGTAACTATAGTCGCCACGAACTATAGCTACAGAGACTTGTGAGCTGCCATATAAGGTCCCCTGGAAGAGCAGCCAGTGCTCTTAACCTTTGAAGCCATCTCTCCATCCCCCATCTAGGACATTCTGTACAGAATATTTTTGCATTTTTAGGCCACATATAAGTACATACCATATATTAAATAATGGATGACACTACACTATTCAAATACTCCATTTTAATCACTCACATTGCCAGCATTACAAGAAATGTTCCCAGCTGTACATTTCTAAAAAGCTGATTCTTCATAAGCTGTAAACACTACAGTATTATCATCCTTGCACACTCTATGCCTTTCTTTATGAGCAGAGCTAACTACCTACCGTGACTTTTCACTCTGTAAGGCTTCCAGTGCTTCGGTGCGGGAACTCAGCATCTGGTCAGCCTCCTGCAGCCGCACTTTGAGGACAGCCAGCTGGGAATCCTTTGCAGCCACTGCTTCTGTAAGGTCATCAACTTGGGCTCGTAGTTCACGAGTTATTCGATCACTCTTTGAATGGTCAACATTCCATTTTTCAACTCTTGCTCTTGCCTTATTTAATTCTAGGAAAAAAATTAAATTTTTCTACTGAAGCAAAAACAAAAACAACAACAACAACAACAAAAAAAACCCCACACCTTTTCATGACATGCATAGAGATATATGTAGTCTACCACCAAAAAAATTTTAGAAGTATTAAAACAAATTTTTCAGGAAATATTAGTTTCAAAACATTTCATGTCTACATGTAGACATGAAATGTAGACAAAGCTTTCTCTGGTCTTTTTAATAATCTTAAGAATTACATTGTTATTATAGCAATTGTAATAATTTGCCCCTCTGGCCTTCTTCCATGACTAAATAAAACTTCCCACTATTCTGTCACTCTGTTCTCACTGATCCTGGGAACCAGGGTAGACATCTCCTTCTCTTTTGTTCTCTCCTCATCCACAGTCATATTAATTAAAATGGTATTCATACCCTCGCTATCACTACTACACCACAGACACAACAATATTTCTTTTCTTTCTTTTTTTCTGAGGCAGGGTTTCTCTGTGTAACAGCTCTGGCTGTCCTGGAACTCAAGAGATCTGCCTGCCTCTGCCTCCTAAATGCTGAGATTATTTTTATGTGTATGTGAGTTTTGTCCGCATGCACATGCATGGCTGGTACACCTGAAGTCAGAAGAGGACACTGGATCGCCTAAAACTGGAGTTACCGATGGCTGTAACCTACCCTGCTGGGACTAGAACTTAGATCCTCTGGGAGAGCAGCCATTGCTCTTAACTACTATCGTCTCTCCAGTCCCAACTGTTTTTTTTAATTAGTCATTTCTGTAGAATTAGAGGGTTATCTACTTGCAGTCATGTCATTGCACAGTTCCTGAGGGCATTATTCACACAAACTTCCATGTTCATTTATGGTCCCTGGGGGCAACACTTGGCTTAAAGTCCAGAATAAATAAATCAAATAATTACATATTAACGTCTGGTTTCTACTGATTTTTTGTTTTGTTTTGTTTTGTTTTTCAAGACAGGATTTCTCTGTATTGCTTTGGAGGCTGTCCTGGAACTAGCTCTGTAAACCATGCTGGTCTCAAACTCACAGAAATCTGTCTGCCTCTGCCCCCCCCCCAAAGGCATGCGCCACCAACGCCTGGCTACTGGTTCTTAAAGTAGTAATTTACACATGTAAACCCAATGCTTGTCAGGCTGAAACAGAAAGACTGCTCTAGAGTTGACATTAGTCTAGGCTACAGTATATATATATATGTTTAAATATATATATATATATATATATGTATATATAATTCAGTGGTTTCTTAAGAATCTGAATTAGCTAAAATTCTGTTTTATGCTCACAGAAGAATTGGTTCAATTTCTGAATTTAGGTTCTAAATTTCTAAGGAAAAAAACATTTCGAAAGCCCCATCTAATTAGGGCCTACCTTCTTGAGTTTCTTTGGATCTCTGAAGTAATGAGGCCATTTCCTGGTTTAGAGACTGGACTTCATTTCTGAGCAGCTGATTCTCCAGGCGGAGATTAGACAGTTCATGTGACCTGCTACCGTCACTAGGTGCCTGGCTATGCTCCGTGCTGTGCTCTGTGCTGTGCTCCTCACTGCTGGCATTGGATGCCATGCTTTCCTTCGAGGATTCCTGGTGGCCTTCAGGCACAGACTCAGAACTATTCACTTCTGCAAGACAAAAACACACCTGGGTACAATAGCATTGTCACTATGTAAGCAGCAGTCACTTGCTTTTGGAATGAATGCCTTTTGGTGAGTTGGTTGCTGTAGTTAGAATCCCATGAAAATACCATTAATTCTCAACATATACCCTCTAGTGAAAAATCTGTTTTCACAAATAGAGTCTGTGGACCTGCAAGGTTCCTCAAAGTCCGGGAACGCTGGAATTAAAGGACAGAGGATAAAAACAGTTCTGGGAAGGAGAAAGCCAGAGATAGTTTAAAAACTGGGTTTCCTTATTTCTGAAATGGTTTTGAAAAGGGGGTTACAAATTGTCAATACTGAAAATACTCAGAAGGTAAAATAAAACAGCTCTGGGGTTCAAGGCATTAATACTAATACAACAGGTCACAGCAATTTATTATAACTAAACCAAAGGATGAGTTCAATCCATCTTGTTTTTAATTAACTTTAACAAAAATTGACATATAACTTATGCTACTTTTGTTTATTTATTTATTTATTTATTTATTTATTTATTTTTGAGACAAGGTTTCTTTGTGTAACAGCCCAGGCTGTCCTGGAACTCACTCTGTAGACTAAGCTGGCCTCAAACTTACAGAGATTCACCTGCCTTTGCCTCCCAAGTGCTGGAATTAAAGAGGAATTAAAGATATGCACTGCTGCTGCCATTCGGTTATTTTTATATTTTTAATATCTATAAATATTTGCGTGTATGTATGTCTGTACACCTTGTAAATGTCCTGTGCCCATGGAGACCAGAAGAGACTGTTGGGAAACCTGGAATTGGAGTTACACACAATTGTGAGCCATCACGTGGGTCCCATGAATTAAACCCAGGTCCTCTGTAAGAGCAGCCAGTGCTCTTAATCACGGAGCCATTTCTCCAGCCCCACATTTAACTTATTTTTTAAATTATATGGGCAGAAGGGAACTTTTCACAAGGGGACATAAACAAGCAATAATAAGGTGAATTCCTCAGTTTCTGGTAACTGCACAAATGCAAACTAAAAACACAAGAAGCCAGGTGCGGTGGTGCACACTGTAATCCACCTCTTGGGAGGCTGAGGCAGAAGGATCACCTTATGATTGAGGCTAATCTATGAGATCAAGGACAGCCTAGGCTAGAATAGTTCTCAAAATTAATATCAAAATGAGATCCAGGCTGGTGGCACATGCCAGTAATCCCAGCATTTAGGAGAATGAGGTAGAAGGATTAAAAGTTCTAGATCTTGTCTCAAAATACCAATAAATAAATAAAGAAAGAAAGACTTTCCCCCAAAAATTGACTACAGGCTCAACAGGATGAGGCTCTTTCTGCCAAGCCTGACAACCTGAGTTAAATCCCCAGAACCTGTGTAGGAGAGAAACAATCCCTCCAACTCTCCTTTGATCCCTGTGCTTCTGTGGCACACAGGCACCCACACCTCCAGAAAATCTCATTAGGTCCAATCAAAACAGCCTGTTAAATATCCGAAAGTATAACTTACAAATTTAACGCAAGGATTTGTCACGACTTAACTGAAACTCACAGGCTATTTTATCTGATTTCAGTGCTATCAAGTTAAAAATTGTAGGATAATTTCATATTTGTTACTAGGGGAAAGTTTTAAGTAACTCAAAGTCAAAGAAAAATGATTAAATTTATAATACACATACGTTTTAAAAATCTATATTTGTTAGTCAATAAATAAATTGTGAAACAAAGACTGTAGGGTAGGCTATAGATAAAAATGATATTATAATCTCAAATCTTCTTTGGAGTCTCAAAGAGACCTTTTTTTTTTTTTTTTTTTTTGAGATAGGGTTTCTCTGTGTAGTCCTGGAACTCATTCTATAACTTAGGATGACACATCCAATCTGCTTAATTCTGAAAGAGACAGGGCTGATTAGCTACCAGGACTTTGGCTCCCAGGACTTTCTTCCGTGGCCTGGATGGTAGTTACACCGGTGTTCACAGAACTGACACTTGAGGACTGAGAGCTTGGATAGACTGGTACTTTGCCCTTCTCTTTCTTAATTTCCACTCTCCCAGTGGGCTCCTTCTGGGAACTGTTAAGAAAATCAAATAGCAGCTCATCATCAGGCTCTGACTTTTTCCTTCGGACAAACTGTGATGAAGGCCTAGGGACAGATGCATGTTCAGTGGCATGGGAGGCCTCCCCAGCTGTCCTGGACCCCACTTTCACATTTGATGTGCCAGCTAGGACAGTGGCTTTTTGAAGTCTGATGTTATCAGCAGCTGAGGAAATATAGTTAGCTTTAGGTCCAGTCTGGTATGTTGGATCTGTGCTTTGCTGGTGAAGTTCAGGATAGTCATTATTTTTGCTATAATAGGTGTTGCTGGTATTCTCCTTTCTGAGAGCTGTTGCAGCCCCTTGATCAACTCGGTTTAAAAGATCTTCTGCCCTTCCAGCAAGATCAGCAAACCAAGACATGACGGTAGCAGGGTAGTCCTACTGATGAACCTGTTTAAAAAAAAAAAAAAAAAAAAAAGGCAAGATATGATAAATGTATCATCTGGAAAGAGTCCTGGGTTCAAATCCAATCCGGTCTCTTACTAGCCAGGCAACTTTGAACAAACTACTAATAGAGAAACCTTCTCATGAAAATATGGGACAGTAAGTAATCTTCCTTACAGAATGTTTGTGTAAATGTTCTGTGATGGGTTTGTGCTGTGCTGCCCAAGCTACAGTGAACAAAACCGTCTTCCTATCGACTCCCAAGTAGCTAGGGCTACAGGAACTCATCACCACACCCAGTCAGAATGGTTTTAAGACCAAACAATAAGGGAAAACACTTTTTGAGATGCTTGACATACAGAAACCCCCTCTGGTAACTTCCATTATCATTATTACAACTACTATTTTCCTTGTTATTTCAATGAAGAACAATTTTTTTTTTTTGAGGCAGGGTTTCTTTGTGTAGCTTTGAACCCTGTCCTGAACTAGCTCTGTAGACCAGGCTGGCCTCAAACTCACAAAGATCCACCTGCCTCTGCCTCCCAAGTGCTGGGATTAAAGGCGTGTGCCACCAATGCCCCACTGAAGAGCAAATCTTAACACAGCAATAGTCTTAACTAGGCTGTGTTCCATATACAAAACTCCAAATCTAAAGACCTCAGAATGTGACTTTATGGAGGGTCTTTAAGATGTAATTTGAATTAAACTGATGTCTGTATTAGAAGAAACATATACACAAATATTCATAAAACAAGAGAGAAGATAGTCATCTGTAAACCTTAGAAATCAGCCTCAGGCAAGAAAGCTGGACAGGTAAAAGTCCTTGCTCTGAAGCTTGACAACCTGAGTTCAATACACAGTACCCACAGGGAAACAAGGCAGAGGACCCACGAAAGCTGACCTCTGGCCACACAATTGCAAGTGCACATACAACTAAAAATTATATAGAAATAAGCAAATATATACAAATCAACCTTGCTAACACCTTCATCTCAGACTTAGAACAGTGAGAAAAATCAACTTCTACTGTCTAATCCATCCAGCCTACGACATGTTTTCACTATGCCCTAACAAATTCCAAAGGACACACTCAGCAAAATTCCACCCAAATAAAAACACTTCTCTGAAATTGGTTTCAAAGGGCTGAACTTGGGGGTGGGGGAGGGGTGGAAGTACCTGACACAAAAGCACATATAGGTGTTGGTAAACTTTTAATAATGTAAATATGTAGTATTTACCATGTACAAGTTAAGCTGAGTTCAAATTATTTTCAAATTAATTTTTATTTAAATTTAAAACAATCTTATCTTACACACCAGTCCCACTTCCCTCTCCCTCCTGTCCTTCCATCCCCCTACCATCCCCCAACCCCATGCCCCATCCACTCCTCAGGGAGGGTGAGGTCTCCCATGGGGGATCATCAAAGTCTGTCACAAGTCCAAATTATTTTTAAATGATTGTATAAATGATCTATCCAGCCATCACATTTGAACACTTATAGGTGTCACATAAGTCAAAGCAATGGAGTAATTAACCTTCATGCTACAGAAGAAGGTAAACGGCAAAATCAACAATGATTGATGAATGTAGTCAGCATTCCTTTGGCCTGGAATTAAGCGGCTCTTTTCGGCCTTCTTTACTAAAATAGTATGAGTTATCTTTCCTTTCCATCGAAAACTGGCTCTTTTTATTCTGTGTGCATACCGTTCATTTGCCTTGCAGTGCTTCAGGATATTATAACTGTTGTTTTTAAAACATGTGTCTCCCCCCCCCCCCCGGGAAAGGATAGTGGGTGGACTAACACAATGTCTTGTTTTGTTCACGAACGAACTCCCAGAATCTAGCCTACACAGGCACCCCTAGAGACGCTACTGAAGCAATTCATCTTTATGTGCCAACTGTTGTGCAAACAGTATCACCAACAGCTCTCTCAGTTACATTATGTGGTAAACTGCAATGTCGTTTAAAAAACAAACATGAATATGGTTTAGAAAGATCCCAGAGCTTGGATGACATCTCAGACACTGAAATCTAAGTCAACCAAGTGTCAAACCCACCTTTTAACCCCTTCCTCTCCATGTCTAACCTCGCCAGGGCGTCCACTGTTTAAACACCTTTAGGAAACCCATTCGGTGTTTCAGTTTATGAGAAATGAAAGCGTAAGGTGACATGCATTCTGTCTTATACAACTCCACACATGCGTAAAGTAAAACTTGGTGATGAGCGAAAATTAACTGTCCTAATAAAAAGGCCTAAAGGCAACGTGTTTTGCCTCCCGCCTGAGAGTTAATGGGGCTTTATTCACATGGACTATAGACACTGAGCTGGGGCCTGGGTCCTTGTCTCAGGGACAAGACTCCAAGAGGGGACTTTGGTGGTGCAAAGCTACCTGAAAGATCAGATGTCACACAGAGGTGGGATCAGGGGTCAGAGGCCAGGTCCGGCGGCCCCACGGGCCCCGGGTGGCGAGGACACACCCCCATCGCGCCCCCGCAGCAAGTTAGAGTGGGGGGTGGCGGCCCTGAGCCCTCGAGGACCAGCACGACAGCACTCGGGGAAGGCAGAGACCGGGTCCCACACGCCAAGCCGTCCCGCCCGCGGCCTGATCGGCCTCACCTGAGGACGCCGAGCGACAACGCAACGGCCTCGTCGCCCACCCGGGCCGCCTCCACAGCGGGTTGCTCCCGGACCTGCCGGCTACCTCTTCCGGGAGACGTGGAAGGGCGGCGAGGACCTCAAAACAGAGTGGCCGCCCAGCTGCCTGAGCGGCGAGGAGCCGAGCGCCGCCGGCCGGCCAAGCACGGCACTCAGGCGACGGCGCCGGCGTCCGCGGGGCCCTAGCGCCTGGCCACGCCCCGCCTCCGTAGGTGGCCGGACCCGGCGCCGCGCCAGCGTGCGTGTGACGTACCGCCGCCTGCACGCGGCCGGGACAACATTTGCAGGTCACGCCCACGGCGGGGGCGTGGTCTGCAACCGGCCACGTGAGTGGCAGGGGCGGGTCCGGTCTGAAGTGGGCGGGGCGTGAGCATCTGGTGAGCCCGCCCAGACCTCTAAACTCCTCCCTCTAGAATCCTGAAGTTTTATACATGAGGGTTCTGAAGCAGAGGATGGGAATACAGAAAACAGCAGCGCTAGACCTGTGGGATGGTTCAGTATTTAAATAGCCACGCCCGACGGCCTGAGTTCCATCCACATACTGGAAAGAGACTTGAGCACGCGCGCACACGCATATTAAGAATATAATTTAAACCTGATCACTGATTTCCTGGAGCTTGCTTTCAAGTGACAGAGATAGATATTCCCTAAACCAATGAATGAATAATAATTTCAGATCATTGCTAAAGTTGTAAATCAAGAAAAACAGGGAGAAGTGACCAGAGGCAGGAAAAATAAATTCAGGGTGTCAGAGTCCCTTGAAGAGGTAACTTGAGCTGAGACCTAAAGGACAGAGTAAAGGGCTTCCCATTCAATAGTAGTATAGTTATGTTCTACATACAGTTCACCGGCTCTGAAATTGTTCAGTAATAAAATCTGTGTTAAGTAATTTACTAAATGCTGTATCTACTGGATGAACAGGACAAGGCTAACTTGGCCCTAATGAAAAACCTACAATATATTCTCAAGTGTGTACATTTGGGCATTGAGGAAACTAAGACTCAGATGCTAATCTGTCCAATATTGTCCTAAAAAAGCATCCTCTCACTCCAAGTCTGTGATCCTAGATTCCACATTAAATATTGGGAATAATTGCAAACCACTTTCTTCCTATCGAGCCGGTTTAGTCCAGTCCAAGTGGAGAGCAGCAGAAGCAGATAATTGCTGTCTCTATGATTTTAGAGGCTGTATTAAGTGGAGGACAGTTTTCAGGATCCTTGAGCTGCTTCATTCAATTTTCACAGTTAAGGATGATACTGGCGGGGAACACTGCAGCTCCCAACTAGTAAGCTGCTCTCCCTGGTAAGGGTCACTCATCATCATTGGCTGCCGGGTGACTGCAACACATCCCAGAGGGAGATACCGTTTCCAGTTCTGCTGATGACAATTTGGTCATATGACCCATCTTTTTGCTGATGGGATGTATAAATGCATGTCTTCCGCTCCACCCAAACCTAAACTTTCAGAGTCGGTGATGTATCTCCTCCAGTTCTTTTTCCTCATGTGAGGAGAGCTCATGTTGCAGCTGAAGCTGTTTCTGTCAGCTTGAGTCCTGAAAGAAAATATTAAGCATAGAGCAGCCTACATCTAACACGTCACTCAACTAGAAATGGATCTTTGCAGTTATGAGCTACTGAGATTTAGGGTTGGCTTTTCCACAGCCTTACCTAATGAAGCCTGATACATCACACTATTTACAGATGAAGGCATGAAATGCAGTAAGATGTAGTTTACTTGGCCATGTTTCCTACTTTTCTATTGCTGTCTACCATGGCCAAGAAACTTTTTAATTTGGGGACTCACAGTTCCAAAGGGTTAGAGTTCATGACCATCGTGGCACAGAGCATGGCAGCAGGCAGAGAGGCATAGTGCTGGTCGGGCAGCTAAGAACTTACATCCTCGTTTGAAAGTCGGGCAGAGAAAGAGAGAGAGACAGGGAGAGACGGCAGGGAGAGACAGGGAGAGAGCGCGCTAACTGATTTGGTAATTCAGAATGGGCTTTTGAAACCTACAAGCCTACCCCCAGTGACATACCTCCAACAAAGCTACACCTCCTAATCCTTCTGAGACAGTTCCACCTGATAAGGACCAAGTCTTCAAAAATAAAATCCTATGGGGCTCATTCCCATTCATAGCAACCACGCCATGCTATGGTTGGGATTTAAATCTAGGTTAATGACCCCAGAAGTGGCTAAAGCGATGTCTTTAACCCTAAAAGGCGTAAGAGGCTGAGACAGAACCAAACCCTTGTCGTCAAAAATATTGGCACTGGCCAGATGATTGTAGTGCACATGTTTAATCTCAGCCCTTGGGAGGCAGAAGCAGAGGCAGGCAGATCTCTATGAGTTGCAGGCCAGCCTGGTCTGCAGAGCGAGTTCTAGGACAGCCAGGGCTGCACAGAGAAACCCTGTCTTGGAAAACAAAAAAAGTGTGTGTGTGTGTGTGTGTGTGTGTGTGTGTGTGTGTGTGTGTGTGTGTTGTGTGTGTATTCGTGCATGTGCACATGTGCATGCACACAGTGGACAGGCTGCCAAAAAAGTGTGTCAAGGACTGGAGCTATAGCTTAATTGATAGTGTGCTTGAATAGTAGGCTTGAAGCATGAAGCTCTGGGTTTGATTCCTGCATCACTTGGGCCTGGTGGTGCATGCCTACAATCCTAACACTTGGGAGATGGAGGAAGGAGGATCAGATCATATTCCTTTCCTCTCCCTTCAAGGCCAGGTCATTCTGTCTCTGGTATGTCTCAGGTCCAAAGGAAACGCCATTTCCCCAGATTCTGGTGATTAGGCAAAAGCCAGTATTCCTCAGGAACTTGTGAAGCTGGTTCCCTCTACCAAAATGAGCCATCTCCGGCACCATTGGCAGATGAAGCGAAGGGTTATTTGGGGTGCCTCTTAGCATACCAAAGTGCATGCTGGTCTCCAGGGTCCCCCAGTATCACAAGTACTGTTACATAATTCAGAGCCCATGTTGACATACTAGCCTCTTCACCTCCCCTCCTACCCTAAGCTTCTCCAGTGCATGTTCTTCCCGGCCCCACCCGCGCATTCTCCTTATAACCCTGCTGTCTCAGCCCACTCCCTCTTCTCTCTGCCTCTCTCCGGCCCGTGTCTGCTCTCCTGCATTCTCCTCCTCTGTGCCCTCCTACTCTACTCCCACAGCTCTGCGCCCGCTTCTCTCATGGCCCGGTCTAGTCTACTGGCCATGCTCAATCTACTATTTCTCTCTCTGCTCTGGACTGTTCCAGATGCCTCTACCTGTCCTCTCTCTCTCTCTCTCTCTCTCTCTCTCATCTCTATAGTAAAAACCTTCCCCTCCTCCTAACGCTGTCCTAACCCTGTCCCATCTCCAGGCCTGACTATAATATCTCCATGGTTTCAAGGTGCTCTTACCTTACAAAGCTCATTCTGAAGGACAATGTTGTGTCAGTATCTTTCCATCTTTATCTACCCTGTAACTGGCTTCCAAAAAATAAAAAATAAAATAAAATAAAGCAGTCAATTTGCTCCTGAAGGAAATGAATTTGTTTGATTTGTTAGGCCTCAGAACAATAATTTTTTAACATAAACATACACTGATATGGGCTAGCAAAATGATTTGGTGCATAAAAATGCCAGGTGTCAGATCCTCTAGAACTGGAGTTACAGATAGTTGTGAGCAACCTGATGTGGAATGCCCCATGCTGTTTATCGAGGGGAAGGTGACAACTCTGGGGCAAGATGTTCCAGCCAACAGCTTCAGGCTTGCTCAAGGTGCCTGGGGGGAGGGGAAGTTCATGCAGGGCCTTACATCTCTTCTTTCTCTCCCCCCCCCAATATAAACTAACACCTGTGTTATGTTGCAGAGGACATCAGCATAATTCCTTACCCATCATGGGAGAGGTCACCCAGGCCTGTAACCCTCCTGTTTTAGGTTGGATATTTGCTCCTTCTGCCTTACTGGTCTCTGGTGAATTGTTTGTCTGTAAGTTCAGCCATACTTGGGCAGAGGCATTCTCTGGAGCTAAAGACAGTAGAATCTGTCTTGTTTGAAATTTGGCCTGGGCCTGTCTAATGCTGTGTCGGCGTTGACAGATCAGGCAGATAGCACCAAGGGCAATGGCTATGAGCCCCAGCAACAGAGAGCTTGCCCATTCTCTAATCTGCCCGCAAGTTGAAGTCCTTGTAAAAGATCTTCCGCACTGGCAGGTGGTACTCGGGTTTCATTGATGTTAATGATCTGCATGGCTAAAGCATGTGTATAATTTAAAAACTGATCACTCCAGGACCCCTGGAGAAACCTAACTACAACTGATGCATTCTCAACTTCAGCAGGTGTAACACAGACATGTGTGAGAGGGAGGACAAGAAGCCATATGGGCCTCCCACAATAAATCCAGCTGTTTCTGTAGGAGGCAAGTTTGCAGGTTTAGTTTTAAAATGCCAATTTGTACTAGATTAGTGAGTGTTTTTTTGGGTGGGTAAGGCTACAGCCAATTCACCTGATAGTTTATCCATTGTGCTTGCAGTATTTACAGATTGGGAGAGGGCTTTCCTTGAAACTGTCGCTGCAGCAGCCAAGGTGGCAATGGTAATAACAATGGCAGCTTGATCCCAACGTCGCTTTTTCCTCTGTGCCGAACAAGTTGGTCATCTGTAGAGGAGGTCTCTGGCATAGGTACCACCCCGGGTACAAGACACATGACAGCTGTTGTTTCATACATCCAGCAGCTAACCTTGGCAGACCTGCTGAGAACAATTGAGACTTCCTCCAAAATTAGTAGCATTGGTTACAACGAAAAAGAAGCCAGAACACAAGGGCCTGAAATGAAGGTGAAATTCTTATCCTTTGGACCGAAGTGTAATTTTATACCTGCTTTACCCGAACTATAATTAGTGGTCAGGGAAAGCGGCCACACAGGGCTACTCAGACCCACAAGCATTGGAATGGATGGGTTCTTGACAAAGGCCCATCAGGCCTTCTCGATGGCCGCTATAATCACACAAATGGTGAACCAGATGCTCAGGCACCCAAACAGGGTTATCTGCATCTTGTGAAAAGACACAAAATGTCCCTCAGGCCCACACTAGAACTTGGTCGGGGCCACACCATTGTCCTGTAGTGACGTTCTTTCACGTAATTGAGCCATAGTCAGATGACCAAGGGCGCCAATGCCTGTTGGCCAAAGATTGAGCAGCACCATCAATAGTTAAAAATGT